TGCCCAGTGTGGTGTGAATAATGACTTTTTTACTGATTAGGTCAGAAGACTAATATGTAGCAAAATAAATAATTTTTCTTTTCATTTTTTCTGATTTTTGCTTTAAATTAACTACCGAAATCTGGTGGATTCACACTGCCACCTGCTGCCTGGAATAGATATTAGAAGCACATTCCCAAAGGGAGTTTATGAATTCACTACTTTGTTTTATTGGAAGTCTATGTGATGTTCTTTCTTATTAACACATTCAAGTTACATATCTTTATAAAGGCTGTAATACCTGGTGAATAGAAAGAAAACTAGCTATTCAAGCAATAGCCTATACTATTTGGGGAAGGTGGTACAAAATATAGAAAGCATTTATTAAAGTTTTGTTTTGTTTTGTTTTTAGAAAGCTGACTACAAAAAAAAAAATGGCATCTTTAGTAAAGCACATGGCTCCTAAGGCATCACTTTCATGGGATACAAAACAGAGTCCAGGGTTGAATACTCCTGATCTTATGACCTTGTGTATCAGCACAGGACATGGTGTGTGTGTGTGTGTGTGTGTGTGTGTGTATGTGTGTGTGTGTGTATTTTCTCCACTCACTCCTGCCCTTCATTATTTTCTAAGGGAGATGGAAAGCCTGAAGATCTCCACCACCTGTTCTCCCCTGATGATAAGTCCTGTATGAGTTCTGTCTCAGGGTTCAGATCAAAGTGGGCTAGGAAAGGCATTATGACTAGAGATGAGGCTGGGGAGGAATCAGCCTGGCTAGAGACATAGAGCTGAGAATTTTTGTACATGACCATTCCATCAGGGTGGTTGGTGGAAGTTTCCAAACAAGATTAACACCTTCTTTAGGCATGTAAATTATTCCATCTGTAAAAAGAATATAACACCTACCTGCCTTAAGAGGTTACTTAACAGAGTGGAAAGCTGAGTCCTTGCCAAACACTCAGCACTGATAGGTCCTCTATAAATGTTGATTCCCTTTCCTGGGAAAGATAATGATGCTCAAAGGACTAGGGGCTGGCCTGGATAGAGTACAGAAACAAGCAAATCTCTTAGGAGAATATTATGGCCTAATTGTAGCCCTTATGCAAGAAGGGTGAGGGTCTAAAAAAAGGCAGTAACTTTAGTGCTGGAGAAAAGGATGAGGTGGGAGAGACATCTGTGAGGTAGACTCTATCTAATTTGGTGACTGATTGGATAGGGTAGTGAGGAAGGCATCTAAAACGTCACAGGATTTTAGGCAACAAGCAGAACAATGTACTGTCAGTATAGAGAAGGGCAGGTTTTCATACATGAAGTTTGAATGTGATACTTAGCTGGAGATGTTCAATAGTTAGTTAGAAATTGATTAGAAAGGGGCTGGGGCTGTAGCTCAGTGGTAGAGCACTTGCCTTGTGAGGTACTGGTTTTGATATTCAGCAAATTTCCGTCTTTTTTGTTTGTTTGTTTGTTTCCCTGCTGGAAGTATGAAGGGTAGACCCAGTTTTAATAAATAAAAAAAATTTATTAAAAATAAATAAATAAAGATATTGTAACAACTACAACTAAAAAAAAATAAGAAATAAAAAAAAGAAACGAAATTGACTAGGAAAAAAAAATCAGAGTTTGGAGAACCAAACCAGATTCAAAAAGTTTGTGACACTTATATAAGAAACTTAGTATACCATTGGACATGTTGAAATCCATATCTGTATCCTATCACTCTGAAAACTGTTATCCTAGAGTTTTCTTAACAATATTTAAAACAGTGAATAAAATATATGTTAACACACAAACTCGAAAAGCAAGGTCATTTGTGCCTTTTACCAGGACCTGTTTGAAAGGCAGGAACTGTTCTTTAATTAATTGGTGCACCTTTCTGGTGAAATTTTCTGGAAAAGCCCAGTGAACAAGGAAAAGAGAAAGAAGCTTTCACATTGTATCTGGGACTAGATCTAGGCTGTGAATCTCAAATAGCAGACAAAAGTCTGAAAGGTCTCAATATACTATCATGACAGCCTACACAGGAGAGAGTCCTATGGAATCCCACTGCAAAGCTGGCAAGAAAGAATGCAGACTTGAATGGTTGTTTGTAAATCGCTTAACAGGATTGGGTGGCCCTTAACTGTTGTGGCCAACTCCCTGCCATATGGGCCTCTCCCTTGTTTCCACAAACATGCTTTGAGAACCTGTGTGAAGGCCTCACAGCCTGGTGGGGGCTAATTCAATAGCTACCTTTGTTGACATGAGAGGTACTGTTCTTGAGGCTTGGGTTTGGGGTTCCTACCCTCAGCAGCCTGCCAGAGGATGAGCAAGAGAAAGGAATCAGCAGAGTGGACTCAAAATGTCTCTTCTATTTTGCAGGGTGGGGGAGAGGGCAGGGAAGGGTAGCAGCAATATTTACAGGTATTCAGAGGAGTTTCAGGCCAAGACAATAGCTGGTAGCCAGGAAGGCTCAGGGAAGATCCACTGAGGGTTCTCCCTGGACATGCTTTTTAATGAGCACTGGAGAATAACACTGGGTCTTAGAAGATGGGTCTATCCTTCACAGTTTCAGTAGGGAAACAAACAAACAAAAAAGATGGAAATTTAAGAACAACAAAACAATACCAGACATTTAGTGAGGAAAACAGTTTCAAAAACTCCCTACTTGAACAAAGTACCAAACAAGAATGGAGAAATATATCAGCTTTTATTGATTAGCAGGCTATAACTTTTTATACATTTTAAGCACTGGGGATTTTTCATTTTAACAAAAATATTTTCATATACTTCACAAAATGGTCCCACATGAAATTCAAAATCAGTTGAGTAATATTGCCAAAAATTACTAAATATATATAGTTTTAAGACTGTGTTAAAATATAAGAGCAGACTAATACAATAAAAATTTTTATCCTGAGAGATAAGGAAAATATGTACTTTTAAAAGACTAAAGTAGTAAGTTTTCTACATACACATGTTTTTGGTCTCATACAGTTTATGTTTCCTTCTACAAGTTCAAGATCTTGCAATAATCGAAGATCAAAAGAGAAAGTATGGGCTGGGGTCCTGGCTCAGTGGGAGAGCCCTGGCCTCACATGTATGAAGCACTGAGTTCGATTCTCAAGACCGCATACAAATAAATGAATAAAATAAAGGTTCATTAACAACTAAAAAATAATAATTTAAAAAGGGAAAGTAAAGTTATGTGAGAAAATAAAATGAAAATATTTTTGTGAAAAGACTGAAAGTTTCAACCACTGTTCAAGAAGCCTGAATAATTACTGCCACAAAATATGTCTGTGTGCTAACTTCACTTCCACCTCAGCAAACTAAAGAAGCACAAGAGTTCAATCCCAAAGAGTACAAGTCACTGAAGAGCTCAACAAATTCCTCTAATGGGGCAGAGCAAAATGCACATAAAATTCTAATATTCATTTGCAATTCCCATTTATAGGAAATCATAGGTAAAGACATACACACACATACCTGTATATACATACCATTTATAATGTGCATCATAATAATTTGCACTCTAATCAAACTTGTCAATATGCATCACTGATTATTATCTGCCATGGAAAAAGTGAATCAGCCAATGATGCTTAAAACTCTAGTTGCAGTATTTGATGTAGAAATGTCAAATAAAAGTAACTTCAATTTCACAAGTCAAATACGCACTTTCAAAGTCTTGTAACCTTTCTATATGATTCCCATTTGCTACTGGCAAAAAGGAATTAGAAACAACATTCCCATACCACCCAACAATATTGAGGGGAAAAGGAAAGAAAATAGATAAAAAAGTTAAACATTTACTGTCAAGATTAAATGTGCCTAGATAATGATAAAAATTTCATATACTGTGTTTGAATTGCTCCTGAGGTGAGCATGGCTGACATTCCTCACACTGTCTCCCTGGGAAGCACTGGTTCCCATTTCCCAGCACTGGTAGGAAGATGAAATAAGATGCTACATAAGAAAGAGCTTTGTAAACTACCTAGTGGGTAACAGAAGTCAATAATAAAGGACATATTTAGAATTAGAGAAAATGATCATCAAGGAAAATAAAATAATTGGGCAGGAAAACAAACAGGATTTTTCTGCTCACTAATATTGTGTCACATGCATGAAGATAATAAAATTGTGTTGATTTATTGTTTTTTTTTAAAATTAATTTTCATTTCTGTTGTAATGCTGTAATAATTGCAAGTCAAAGTGAAACCAGTGGTGGAAATGGAAGAATCCTAAAATAGGAAATTATTTCTTAGCTTTCTGTAAAATAAAAAAGTCTCACAACCATGAGGCTGCCTAAGATGTCCTATATTTTCCTACCCAACAGGGTTTTCATCCAAGGGGCAAACAGGCCTTTGGAATCAGAAGACCTACCATTTACCAGTCAAATTGCCCCCAGCAAGTATAGTATATTTAAATTCTCTAATTTTTCATTTTTAAAAATGTGCAAAACTGTTGTGAGGGCTGAATGTGAAACATCCGTGAATACACAGTAGGTGCTCAGAGAATGGACGTTCTCTCTCCCCCGCCAACCTCACAGGGCCAGTGAATCAGGGAAGCAAGGATGTACAGCTTACCAGTTCCTTCTCCAGCATTTACAGCCTGGGAAGTTTACATGGTAACTAATCATGTATGACTTTTGTGTTGTACTGTTACTGTTACTATTTGACTTTCTTATATTAGTGGTTATTTCCAAAACCAGACAACATTACTTCAGATCAAGATACTTTCTAGGGTCATCACCCCAGGGTCCCACAGAGAAGCCTGGGCATGGTTATTGAATTAATCTGCTGCCTGAGGGTAGTGGAGACCTGGGGCCGGAAGGGAGGATGGAGGGGAACATTCACATCTGCAGACACAAGAACTGTAGCTGCCCTCTTAGGAGAGTTTTCTGGAGAAATTGTACCACCACAGGGCACCCCCGACACACACACATTTTACCTATAATTGGGCTCCAATTGATGGGGGATAGCTTACAACTGCAGTGGAAGGGAATGTGAAGAGCACATGGTCAGGAGGTAAGCTCACATACCTGAATAAGATAGTGGGAACATAAGTTGAGAAGCTCCAACAGTTGTAGGTGACTGCCAGCTGCTAAGACGTCCTGGATCACGCCTGGCTCCAATAAAATCTGTTTTGTTTTTCAATAAAAAGAAGATCATCAGCTACATTAAAAAAACTTATATAGTACTGCTTAATGTGTAAATATACTAAATTTAAATTGCTGCTAAACCTACTCATCTGAATCAATACTGTTCTGAATTAAGTCAGTTCTTTTCTCTCTGTTTTGATTAGTGAGCTGTGGTCCTCACTCTTAACAGCCCAGTTTTCTCCTTAATGCATCAACCAATACTCATTTCCTATGTGCAAAGCTCAGTACATTACCGCTTATTTTTTGTAGGAGGATATATAAAGATTTTCAAAGAACATTCTAATCCTCTTAAAATTCAGTTTGTGACATAACCTTATAAAATACAAAGAAATTGAGTTTTTCAAAGTACATTTCAGAATTTTGCTCTTTAGTAGATCATAGAAACAACATAGTAAACAGGTATTTTAAGGAAAGGGACTTAAGTTTCTCCTTGCCTTGAGGCCAGAGGTGGCTATTATTCCATTTTACTTCTAAGCCCTACAACACTGAACTTCAACCACAAACTCTCATTTTACTCTTTCTCAGCCTCTAATCCTTTCTATTTATAATAAAAAAAGTTACACATTGCATTTTCAGCATACAAAGACATCACAGAGAAGTAAACCTTCCCAAGTATCCTGGTGATATCAATTCTTTGCTTCTTTTACTGATTCAGTCCAACTAACTGCCTACTTCTGACAGTTTTTGAGCCACGGAACAGGGCAGGACAAGGACATACAACCATGCTGATAAATTCACTTTCATGGATGACTTTCAGGCACCAGGCAGCCTTTAGAGGTATCCCTACCACTCATCCCAACAGTCCAGTGGGCCCCAAATTCTCATCTGTGGGCCAGCAGCACACCATCTTCTGGAAACCAGTAAAAATTGAAACTCTTGGGTACCTTCGAGATCTACTCAATCAAAAACTTTTAAAGTGATTTAACTAGTGTTTTGACAAGCCCCAAACCCACCCCCCATGGTTTTGATGTGCAGGGAAGCATGAGCAACACTAATGTTGCCAACTCACTCTTCCACACTGTTATGTTATAAGTGCTCCTTTTTCCTTGAGCCTCCAATTCCCCTGTCTTATTTTCACCTACTAACCTTCCAAAGACTTCCTCCAAACCTACCAACCCACCTCTACCTGTATCAGCACATTTTGGTTTCCCCCAACACTCTACTTGTACACTTGATCTCAACCTCTTCTGCCTTTAATTGTCCCCTCTCATTTTTTGCACCACTGTTTATTCTCCTTCTATTGGATGATAGTTCCCTTTGGCATTCAAATATGCTGTTATATCTCTTTTCTTGAGAAATAGCCCTTCCCTTGATGCCACAGCTCCTCCATATTCCTTCCCCTTCTTTATAAAACTCTCTAGGAAATTGTCCTCATACCCTGCTGCCATTAGCTCTGCTCTGTTTCCCTTGTACCCATTCCTTGGAAGTTTTCTTCCCATTGTTTCATTAAAAAAATGATTTCATCAAGGTAATCAGTGATGTATATGCTTCCAACTCCAATGGCCATTTCTTAGTATTAATTTTACCCTATTAAACAGCCATTAAACAAAGGTGATTGTGTACCTTCTTGGAATGATTTCCTCTGCCCCTTTATTCTTGGCTTTCTTCTATATCATAAGCCACTCTCCTTCCCAACCTCTGCTTTGGAGATGCCCAGGGATCCATTCTCAGACCTGCTGCTTCCTCTCTCCTTTCACTCCGTGGATGGTCTCATGCAATCCTATGGCTTTAACACCATCCACATACTCATGATACTTCAGTTTGCTTCTCCTGCCTCAGCCTCACACCTTGAACTCCAGACTCTAATACCCAACTGCCTTCTCAGCTGGTCACATGGATGCCCAGCAGGCAGCTCAAACCCCACATGCCCCAAATTGAATTCTTGATCATTCCACCATCCACCAAACAGGCTCCTCTCCCAAACCTACCATGTCAGAAAACAGAAACTATTTATTTATGTTAAAACCTCAGGGTCATTCTTGACTTTATTTTCCCCATACTTCACAACTGATCCATCAGGAATTCCTGGCAGTTCTGTCTTCAAAACAGGTCCACAATCCAATCACTGCAATGATCACTCTAGTCCAATCCACTCTACCTCCCTAGACTTAACTATGATGGCCTCTAAACTAGTGGCCCTGCTTTCTCTCTTGGCCCCTCACATTACCTTTTTAAAATATTGTCAACCAAACCGGTCCTCTCTTCCTTAAGATATTAGCATGGTCTTTCCTGACATCCTTCAGACATATACTTAGATATTACCTTATAATAGAGGCCTTCCCTGACAATCCTATATAAAATAATACTCCACTTCCCAACACCTGTTATTCTGTTTCCTAACTTGGCTTTAGTCTTCTTCATAGAGCTTATCACTTCTTAACTTATTACACATTTATTTATCTCCTATTTCTACAAGCTCCAGCACTTCTATTTTGTATCCCCTGCACTTAGAACAATGTCTAGCACATAGCTATCATTCACAATGGAAAGGTTTCTTTAATTATGAATTCATCTTTACACATATAATTAATTCCAAATTGATTTTATTAATTAATCTAAACATAAATTACATTTCTGAACTACTGAAGTAAAGAAGCAAAAAAGTTAAGTACACTTGGCAAAAATACAAATGCTCAACTTATTCTAGAAATTCTCTATAGCTGTTTTCCATTCAGTCAGAAGGAGAAACTTGCATTTCTCCACCTCCTCAAGGAGCGAGGCTTTGACTGACATTCAGGAAATAAGCACAGCTCCTGTCAGAGGAACGAGGATGTTGTACAGTCTTGCAGAAGAGGCATAGCCTAAGGCAGGGAATGGGGAATAGATGGATTAGAAAGGTTACTCTTGGCCTTTAAATCCTGTCAGTTGCGCTTATTTCACACAACTGGCATACACGATAACCTCCAAGGCTCAGTAACACCAAACGCAAAGGCAGATATCACAGAGAGACAAGATGAATATTCCATAGCATGTGTAACATATCCAACAGGCTCACTGCAAGACACCTTCACATGAGATACCCATATTGGGATTGTTTGGGTCTTTGTTTATTATTTTTGTTCTCCAGTTTCTTTCTCATCTTATAACATAAGTTTCTCCAAAAGACATTTTAGCACAGAAAATCCCTAAGTGCTTCTGAAGGTTTGGAGAAAGAAATTCTATCAGAATAGCTGGTTCTCACTTAGGGAAACAGGACCAGCATTTGCAAACCCCACTTGTAGAAGTCTTTTAAATTCAGCTCTATTGCTCTTTGGTAACTCGTTGTTCTAATGTAGTTTTCCAGAGAATTTGTATTTGGGCTTCTTGGAATAAAAACAAAGGTTCAATTTCCTCATGATTTACAGTACAGGAGATTTATCTACCATCTGTCTCAAAGCACTCATAGAAGGAAGGGATCTAAAATATGCACATCTATGAGGGAAAACTAAGGTAAGCTGAATTTAACTTCTATATAGTAATGTAGGTTACATTTAATCCTTTCAGAAACTTAGGTCCATCAACATGTCACTCAAAGCTGGAGAGATGGGAGGTGTGGTCACTCAAGCATCTTTGTTAGGAAGGGAGGATGTCTCCTGAGAGCTGTGAGCCTAGTATTGAGTGGGGGTGGCTTGACATATCCAGTCACTCAGTAGTCTGGGAGACTCAACTCAAACAGAGGCATAAACAGTGGACAACACAAATCCAGAAAATGCAAGATGCCTAAGACTAAGTGGCCTAGAACCCAATGTCAAAGGTTAAAAACCTCAGCAACAAAAAATGAGATGCTAAGCAACTCAGTGAGATCCTGTCTCTAAATAAAATACAAAATAGGGCTGGGGATATGATGGCTCAGTGGTTTAGTACCCTTGAGTTCAATCCTCAGTACCAAAAAAAAAATAAAAATAAAAAGTAGGCTGGGTATTCCTCTTCCCTCAATGACACTGAAATGTAGGCAGAGCTGGAGCTTTTTCCAGATTTGTAAACAGTTTTGATGCAACTAGAAGCAGACTTAGGTGGGGAATAAATGCCTCTTGTCCACTGGTCCATTTGTACAAAGAATTTCCTCCCACCCACCCACCTACATCTGGCCCTCAGGTGGCAGAATATAGGGGGTTGTGCTTGTCAGAAGGAGTTGAACAGTGCTATCTAGGGAGGTGACAATCCCATTATCTGGACAAGAGGTCCTCAGCTCATTCCCACACCAAATGCTGAGACTGCACTAATTTTGGCCAACTGGGGATAAGACTGGCTAGTAGGTTTGGTCAGGTGACAATTCCCAGTGTGAGTTATTACGTGAGAATTCAGGCATAAAGTGGTCCAGTTGCTTTCCTGGCTGGATGCACTTTTGAATACTCTGTTCAATCATGTCACCTGATTATCAACTTAAGGAGGGTTGGTAGTGATAGCTGATTTGCACAATCTCTAATTAAGAACCTCTAAACTGGAAGAAGTCTGGGGCCCCTGGTCTCCACAATGTATTTAGGTAGGATGTGGGGCCAGAAATTTGTGAAAGGGAAGGAGAATAGGACTTGAGATGAGATTCTGCACAGGGGATGATGTGGGCCACCTGGGTCAGCATTCAGATCTTGCCTGGCCATGCTCTGGGAGAGCAAGGCAGGACTCAGATAGCACAGGGACCACAAACAGACCCTGACATCCCTGCCCTTCCTTCTTCAGCTCAACTTTATTATCACAAGGGTCTATCTTCTTCTTTCTCTCTTCATTTTTCTCTCCTATTTTCCCTTGCTTTAGATTAGCTGATGATAGAGATTGTCTTTAGTAGCTACAGTCAATGACTTTTTTTTTCTTTGCCCATGAGAAAGTGAGTTGGTATCTTCATAGCTATCTTCCTCATTGCTTGCTTCAAGAGAGTTTGAATTTACTTTCTTCTGAATTTGTGGAAAGTAGGCTTAGGGATTTGAGCATATTAAAGTCAGATAACTAATATTTTTATTAAACACACATGCACACGTGCACACATGAACACAATCACTTTTGCA